CACTTTTTCATAAAATATGTTTCAAATACGTTTATACGAACACAAATTGAACTCAAATGTTTATCAAATTCCAATGTAAGCTGCTCTGAAGGAATTCATTTTTCTCATATTCAGAAGATTTCAAGACATCTCTTTTGAATGCTGAAAATGTTCTTGAATTTGTCGTAGCTAACGCGCAACCTTCATTTTAGCCCGACCGTTTTGCAGCGATGTGGCAAAAAAGAGGAGCATATGTCCATAGCGAACTAAGCAATTATAAGAGATCTCACTAGCAAACCCGGACCAATTGCAGAAGTTGAGAATGGAGCGCACTTGCTTTCAATCTTAGTCTACATTGGTTCGTAGATAGATAGTAGAGCACATTTTAGAAAACAAACTTGGGACAGGTGGGCATCAATTGGCTTAATAGTAGCTTATTTCGCGTCTGGCCAACCGTATGTGTGTTTATTGGCATTTGGCATGTCGCAACAGGTGCGCCATAAATTTCCACTTCACAAAAAATACTTAATTGAAAACCTAGAAAAGTAACCGAAAAAGTCGATTAGACGCCTTTCAATCAGATTGCATTTTGGAAATTAAACTGTGTCAGCGCACTATTCTTCTTTGATTGGGAGAACGGAGAAAAGGAAAAGGTTCTTATTCAACTTGTTTATAATTCCTATTGTTGTAAGTGGTTGTTCTAAGAAAGAAGAGCTACGATCAATAAAAACAGGTTTACCAAAACTGTTTCTGATTTCCAATTATATTAGAACCTTCCAATTCAATGATTAGGGGAGGAGATATCAAACGTAGGAGGTTTTCTACCTTTTTCCACTAAAACACTGCTGTACGATATGATACGAGTTCAAGACAACCATCAAGTAAACTTCTTTTTGTGAAGCTACTGTAGTTTGCTGTTATCAGTATTTTGATAAACTGTCAAAGTAAAGCACATAGTTCCATGTTTTTTTAGCGGAAAGCTGCGTCTACTTGGCCTCTTCAAACTGCCAAGGCTCGAAAAAATAGGAAAATTTCCAAGAAAATTATTGATTGCTCAAACGTTTAGTTCATTGCGGTGTTTAGGAAAAGCTTCACAATTATAAAACCAGCCCATTTTTCAATTCGCGAGAAAAAGACCCTCTTTTATGTTGTTCTATTCTGTACAGAGTGTAAAAAGAAGAAGAAATTAGATTATTTGAAATTTGACCTTTTGAATTGCTTGAAGAGCCAAATGTTTGAAACATTTAATTTTCGAATTATTTGACCATTCGAGTAAACGATTTTTTTCCCAAAAACCCAATGTATAATATACAGAAGACAAGTGCAGGGCAGTGATCAAATTGGTTGATTGTTA